TATTTAAAAGTTAATACGTCTGTACAACTTTTAAACCCCCTTTAAATTTACAGTTTCAAAACAAAATATTTTATACTTTTTTAGTACCTTGATTTTTAAGCAAAAAAAAAAATAATAATACCTTAATTTTTTAAACAAAAATTTTAAGTAAGTTTAAGGTAAAATACGTCTCGAAGGCCTTTCTTTTCATTTCAAGAAATGTACATATATTTTATACACTTTTTTCTTTAATAATTTCCTTTCTCTTAAATGAATTTTTACAAGAGTTTTGAATTTTATAAAAATTGTACTTTCGAAATTACTTCAAATGAATCTTTCAGAATATTTACCAATTTTTAAAATGGTTATATTTTTACACGCCAACACAAAAAAATGAAATATTTCCATTCACCCTATCAATACTCAAGATAGTTAGGACAACGAGCTAACTATAGAAATTCCACACTTCTTTCTCCACACACACACAGACCACAGCCTTTGACACGTTTATTGCCATTGTCACTTTGACTTGCAGCCATGCAATGCATACCAATTCAATTTAAAGCGCTGACAGCGATGTCAAACAATTATAACCAACAAGCTGGCAAAAGTATGCAAACGAAAAGGACTAAAACACAAAACGCAACTGTAATAAAGAAGAAGAAATATGCAAGAAATTTCACAAATCTTGCCGCAGCAAGCAATAAAATGAAGAAAATGAGCGCAGCGCAGCAGTAACTTTGCCAAGCAACACGCACATATACATACATGCATATATACTGGGAGCCACAAGCCAAAAGCTAAAACTTTAAGTATTGTATAACACAAAAAGGACATTCGAACAAAGTCAAACGAAGTAGTGCGCAGTGCAGTGCGTTTGCTTTGAGGGCGCGCAACCGCAAGCAAAGCGGTATATATGTTTGTATGTGAATGCATATGTATGCGTGTGACCTTTAAACTATGCTAGAGGACGATGTCAAAATATTAATCGTTTCATTGCTCCTGCTGGGCGGGAAGAGCGCGGTAGCATGTATAAGAGATGAGCGCGTAAAAGTTAGTAGAGAGGGTACGATTGCAGGAGATCCTCATACATATTTATATATTATATAATCTTGCACTTAGCCACTTGCCTGTCTGCCGCTGCTATTCAGCCAAGTTTCAGTTTCTACTTATGCCCAGCCAGCAACTGACTGTCTGTCATTTCTTGAACTGTTTCGCCTTCACATTTGCCTGCTTGTTTATTTGTGCGCGCCGCCTGGGCAACAGTTTAAAGTTTTCACTAATCCGACAACGGAAATTGGTCGGGAATTACTGCTGCATTCTTCATCAGTCAAGTGCTTTGCCATTTAATTCTTGCAATTGCATTGCTCCTTGCTTTGCGGTTGAACGTCAGCTGTTTGGCTATACATAAATAACCCCTACTGCGTTGCCTCTCTCTCTCTTGCTCTCGTAGCGACTTTGGGTTGGTTGAAGTTGTATATATGTATTAAAATATTTCCGAACTGCCTGACTGGCATCACTCTTAATCCACTTGAACTGCCAGTTAGCCAACAAATGCGTCCAACTGCTAGTCAGTTATTTCTTCCAACTCTACTCTCTTTTCCTTTGTATAGTATACCTCTAAGCATCAAGCATCAAAGTTTTTAGCACATAAAACTTGTCTTATCGCTTGCGCCAAAGCAGTCGTGTGCATTTTTGAATACATACCAACAAATAAACAAACAAACAAATAACTGGGCAAGCCAGCAAACACAACTTAAGTTACTCATACGCCATGGCGCACAACATTTCGTTTGGTGCACATTGTCTTGGTGATGATGATGTTGATGACAATTATTTTTTTGCGGTCTGCAGTTCAACTTGCGGCTGCTGCTGCATCAATCGTCCGACTTGTTAGTGTCAGTCATTTGGTAGTACGGCGAGTTAAGTCAGCAAACGTGAAAGATGGCGACAAGCCAGTAGAAGGGTGCAGTGTGTCAAGCTGTGCACATATTGGTAGAAAATAGACAGAAGAGTGTGTGCGGGTGTTGTCGACAATCAAAGTTTGCTACGTAAATGCAATTATTTGCGACAAGTTTAATTGCTTGCGGTGAGCAAAGATTCTTTTCAGGATTTTGTGATTAACCGACAGACTTGCAGTTTAGACGCGCGGACGTAAGCAAGTGACTACAGAAGTAGGATTAAAGGGTTCTATATAATTTTATGTATGTATAGATAAATGTATTCATCTAATATATCAGTGGGGTTTATATCCCAAAATATTTCAAAACTATCTTATATTTAAAACAAAAAACGATTATTTAGTTATTATAGTTTAGTATTTTAGATAAAACCTACATTTAGTATATTATGTATAGATTATTGGGACGAATTTAGCTACAAATTTTTTATTTTTTTTTGTTTTTATTTTATTTTGTTGTTGTCTGGTCAGTAAAGTTCATTTCATGCTATAGTACGAATACCGATATTTATTCAAAACTAAAAAATTGTACAGAGAAAGTCTGACCGAAGAACTCTCTATTAAATTTGATACACATATATATATTTTTGATATCAAAATTCATCATAAAAATCAAAAAGTTAAATCGAAAAGGTCAGACTAAAAAAAAAATGTATTAAATTTTATTTGCATATATAAATTTTCGATACCAAAACTTATCATCAACTATATGACCTCAAAACTCTGTTCTTCGAACAATATCATTGATCATTGACCAATTGATTGCCATAAAAGCGACTCAATTCAGCACCTGCCTGTGATATTCACAGCCACTAAAATGCTTTTAAAGACTCGCTCTACAACTTTTAATGACTTTTACCTGAGATCCGCTCTCACACACGCGCTCAGTGTCTCATTTTGCAACATTTTTCACTTTGTACTCGGCATTCTTACCTTTCTACCTCAATTACAAGAAGGCGAACGTGGAAGTGAAGAGCGCAGCGCATGGCAAGAGCAAAGAGGAAATTGAGCATGAAAGACTACCTCAATCAGAACGATGCAACCATATACATATATAAGATCCCATATTATGTATATCTAGTATATGATTACAAGAATGCAAACTGTTGGTTGTCGGCGCTCTACACCAAAAACACACACAGACACAGTGCATGTGTTGCGCCCGCTCATCTTCCAACTGCCATGCATAAGCTTGAGTATCTTTTGAAATATAATAACGAACTTACGGATTCAATTTACGTGACATCATTACAAACGTAAGACAAGAACAAATTACGCGCACAAATACGCGGCAGACAATGATAAAAAAGGCAAAAAACTGTAATTTTGCTCGCAAGTGTGCCGCGGGGGCGTGGATACACCTCATGTGTAAGTGATGTGGTGAGGGGTTGTGTGGTAAACAGCTACCACTTTCAATTGTGCTGCATTAAGTGAGGTGGAATTAAATGTGGAACGTGAGCAGCAAAGATATGGAGTTGGCCTGTTCGGCGACAAGCTCCAGTGGCGCAGTATTTCGTAAGAAGCAGCGCGACCTGGCGGTGAACGTAGCGCTCGAACAGGCACAGGAAATTCGCTACAATATAAAGGTAATGATGATGCATGTGTTGACGTATGTGACACATTTACCACCAACATTTACAAGCCCCAGACACGCACACATTTGTGCAAATTTGTGTTTGTGTGCAATATTAATACTCGAATCATTGTTGTTGCTGCCTCACAGCGCATTCGTTTGTGATTTGAGTTGCAGCGTGACAAGAAGTGGAATGAGCGGTAAATAAAAATAAATGTCTTACGGCAAACGTCCACACATGCGCAAGCTTTAAGCGCTAGTGTGTGAGAAATGGCAAATGATAAATAAG